GAACCTTCCTTTACACTATCCAGCCTAAACTGAAATTTCCCTGATCACAGAATCACAGAATGGTTGGGGTTGGAAGGGACCTCACCTAGTTCAAGCCCCCCCTACTCAAGCAGGGACACCTAGAGCACGTGGCACAGGGTGGCATCCAGGCGGGTTTTGAAGATCTCCAGAGAAGGAGACTCCACAACCTCTCTGGGCAGCCTGTTCCAGGGCTCTGTCACTCTAACAGTGAAGTTCTTCCACATATGCAGATGAAACTTTCTGTGTTTCAATTTGTACCCTTTACTCCTTGTCCTATCGTTGGCCACCACCGAGAAGAGTTTGGCCTCATCCTCTTTAAATCCTCCCCTCATGTATTTGTACATGTTGATAAGATTCCTTCTCAATCTTCTTTTCTCCAGGCTAAACAGGTCTAGCTCATTTAGTCTTTCCTGGTAAAATAGATGTTCCAGTCTCTTAATTATCTTTGTCGCTCTACACTGGATCCTCTCTAGAAGTTCCATGTCCACGTGAGTAGAGGGGTAGGATCTCCTCCCTCAGCCTGCTGGCAATATTCCTCCTTGTGCAGGCCAGGATCCCATTGGCCGCCTTGGCCACGAGGGCATATGGGTCAACTGCGACTTTCAAATCCCTCTCCATGGAACTGCTTTCCAGCACGTCAACCTCTAATCTGTACTGGTGTTTGAGTTTATTGCTCGCCAGGTGCAGGACCCTGTCATTGTCCTTGTTGAATTGCATGGGGTCCCTCTCTGCCCAGCCCTCCAGGCTATTTAGGCAGCACAGCCCTCTGGTGTCAGCCACTGTGCACAGTTTTCATCCATAAACTTGTTGAAGGTGTACTCTGATGACCTGCAATTTCTTTAGAAATAAGTAATAGAATGTAGAAAAACTAAAATTCCGTTTATATGGAAGAAAACCTATAAAAGTCATTTTAAATAATGATTACAAAGGTAACAAATATTTGACAAATAATCTAAGATTTAAAGGCATCATGGAAATTCTGACCATTTATTTATCAGTTTAAAATCATAAGTGAACAATTAATCTAGGAGCACTTTCGTATGACAGATCAAGACTGCTTCCCATCATTTTAGCTTTGGAGTTCTGAAAAGATTGCTTTCATTTGATTTTATGGTTGGGAGCACATCTTGCCTTAAGGGCTTGTGAGATTAAAATCCAACATGTAACTAATAGTTCCCCTGATACATGATTGCAAGTTTATCCCAGTGACCACAGTACAAGCAGAAAATAAACGGGCAATGAAACTTCAGAATTTCTAGTCAGAACCTTGAAACCTCCAGGATCGTCAGTCTAAGATAACTTGTCATTTCAAGTAGAATATAGATGATAAAAAGTGAGACAAATCATAAATACTTTATTAGCATAGGTCTCAGAAGGATAAGCCTTTCCTTTCCCTTTTAATATAATTTACTGTTTCTGTGCAATTCTACCTTTTTTTCCCGAAATAAATTCACAGAGGATATGATGAGAAAAAAGTCTTTTTTTTTTTAATTTACAGTGAATTTTTCCATCTTTCTTTTGAATTTTTGTTGTCTAACTAACCAGTTTTGTCTTTCATGTAGCAGGCACTTAGCAATTTGAAATTTTTTGCATATATTGCTGGCAACAAACAATGAACTGAACAAAACTGAATCTCATTAGCATTTTAGAGGAAGAAGCTGTTTTCACTTTCCTTGCAGGATGGTGCAGGATTTAGTATAATAAATGTCTTTCACAGATGTCAGTTTCTGTTACACATAAACCAGGATTGTTTATCTAATTAAAGTCTAGTCAAGATCTAAAATCTAATCAAAATTGCTGTACAGAAACTTCCTAGGACCTACCCCTTTTCTCTGGCTTTGTGCTCACCTTTTCAATATTCTCTTTACAACAGCTTTAGTTTTCCTCAAGAAGATGAAGATGGTGCCAGGGCTTGTTTATAATGAATAATCAGCTGGATGAGTCCTTTACAAAAGAGAATGATGCTGGTGACCGAGGTTTCTTTCTTCTCAGTCTCGGGTCTGCTTAGGGATATTTATGTTTTTCTAATCATGTACTTAAATGTTCTTTTGTTTCTCTGGTACCAGTTAGCTACCACTTCTATTCATTTTTCGTTCTCATATGGTGTGGTGATTATAAGAACATTGCCAGATTCACATTTCTACTGAAACTTTTCCTTACAAAGCATCACTGCTTTGAAAGCAATCACTATTTACACTCTGAATGGGTATTATTTCTTCATATGATACTTACTCTTAATTTTATCAGGTAGTTTCAGAATTTCTATAGACCTTTGGTTTTTTCCTGATGTCTAATCTTAATAATGTAGAATAGCTAAATGAACAAAACTATCTTGCAGCCTTTTCCAAAATTCTCAGAATAGTTTGCTGTTTTGGGGTATCCCACTAGCTAATTTCATGTTTCATGTTTGCTACTTCAGAGTCCATTAAGTGGTCACATAGTGTGTCTATTTCCCCATGGAAGAAGATGTCAAACAAGCTGGGGAGACACCAGCAGCAACAAAGCAGATGTCTATGCTATTATGCATGAATTTGCAAGCTATGCATTTGCAAACTTGTATTTCTGTCAGATGTAAGATAGCAATCCAGCAAATTGCAGCATATAGCATCTTGATTGAAAGATTGCAGCTAAGGGTTATAATTAAGTACTGCTCAAGATCTGTCTTTTTTTTTTTTAAAGAACAGAGTCCTTCTCAAACTTTTGTAATCATGTAGTCATTAGCTTGTTTCCTATGACTTCCTGACACAGGAGCCAGTACAAGTTGATTACGGGATCTCCATCTCTGTATGTATTTGAGGGAACACTAAATGAACCAATTCCAAAGAAAGATGCAAAAGACTGGATGAATGATAATCCTGCATAAATTAAAAACTAAATTGCCAATTTGTTCTGCTGTGTGAATTTCTTATGCAAAAGCAGTAGAATATTAAGGTTGCATTTAAATACTTATAACAATACTTAAATATTTTTATTATTTAATTTATTATTTAAATAACATAGCATGTAGGGTACCTCTAGAGTCTCCAGGGTATCCTCCTGGCCTCCAGGTCTCTCAGCATGAGTCTCCTGGAGGTCTGATGTCACATCTACCAGTGCTGAGCAGATCTCTCTGATACCTCTGGGTAAACAAACTGGCAGTAGACAGACCTTTGAATCACTCTATTAGGTACTTTACATGTGGAAAAAAAAGCATTGATGCAAATGGAATGTGATATGCAAGTGGAATGTATGAGATAAAATTGCTGTAGATAAAAAAAATGCTCAGATATTAAAAGGACATGAAACTTTTAAGTGTCTTTTAAGCCAATCGCTTGATGCATACATATATTATAGATATATACCACTTAAAGAAACATTTTTTAAAATTATTTTTCAGCATATTTTTCTATTTTTGTTAATTATACTGTGACTAGTATTACCTTATCGATTCGGTCTCATACCTGCTACGAATGTCTTCAAAAATGGTGTAATTTTTCATATTATCGTAGTGTATTTTAACAATTGTTTCAGTAATGTAAGAATGAAAATGTAAGAATAAATAGTCCCTGGAAGATAAAAAAGATTCATTTTTGCCAAGCGATTGTTTAATAAAAAAAAATACATCTTCCTTAAATTAGAGAACATAGCCATCAGAGAACAAGCTAAACTGAAAGACAGCCACCAGCAAAAGGGCTTAGCATCTGTTTCTGATACACTGTATAGAACTCATCTAAATGTATTCCAACATTATAAATAAATAACAAATAAGTAAATAAATAAAAATTGTATTATTCTGTGCTTACTTTACAATAATATTTCAGGAAATCATGTCCTAAGTTTTAGAATTCTGGTCTTTCAGTCATGGTATCTAAGTGGAATATTATAATGGTCACTACATGTTTGTTTGTTTTCATTCGCTTATAATCTGGACAATTTTTAAGGCCTGGTTTAAATAATTTGCTATCAATTTACTATATTACTATTTATTCAGATACACTTTTCTCAAGCTAATGTACCTTACCTGCCTCCGTGTCCATGATGGGCAGTAAAATTTTGTATCGATTCCTTAAAATATCTTATAAGAAACTTTTTCTCAGTTAATATAAACTATGCACTTTTAAATCAGTTGCCTTAGTCATGATAAAGTATTATTTAGAACAGTAATCAGTTCACAGTAACACAGAGTTTTATTTTTCAGACAGTTAACCATGAGTTGTGCTTCTTTTTGTGTTCAGGTTGACTGGATTTCATCTTCCTCCACCTGTGACAAGTACAAAATCTGTATTTTCATTACGCTTGACAAGTGACTTTGCAGTTAGTGCTCATGGGTTTAAAGTTTACTATGAAGGTAAGAGATGCTTAAAAGAATTTGCATTTTTTTACATGATGTCTTTACATAGTAAAAGTCAATGTACTAGCTATGCAGATATATATAGAACCTTATACAATTTACAATGTTTGCTTTTCATGCAGTTTTTCAGATATGTACTCTCTCATATGAAATGGAAAAATGTAAACTTTTTACTCCTATGCATAAATAAATGTTGCAATATGTACTTTGATAGTTCCAAATTCTATAAATTTTGAAAAAAAATCATATTTTTAGTCTTCCTAAGGTATGTTTCTCCAAATTAACACCAAAGTAACACTAGCTACCACCCAGTTTCACTACATAGTTACATTTTTATCTGCAGATGTCCTCAATCTCTAGTGCAGTTAACTTGCTTTGTCCCATTAGCAACAATGATCTAATTGATCAGAATGTGATAGCTGAGTCCTCCTCTGGTAGCCAGGAAGCCATACAAAAAACAGTGCTATCTGTGAAGGGCTGCCATGGAAATACAGGGCACTGGAAACGGATTCTGAAGGAAAATGTCTTCAGAGAAAGACATTGCCAAAGTGTCAAGATATAATGCATTAGAGTGCTAATTAACCTAGAAATTCCCTCCTGTGCTTCTGCATTTTGTCTCAAGATATGAAATGAAAAACACTGAAGAATTTTCAACTCTTTCATGTGTTCTGAGTTATTATATAAAATAAGCAAGGTAATTACATGCATTCTCTTTTCTGGCTTGCTTACAGGCAAGATGTTAATATAGAGAACAGAAATTGAACTTATGTGTGACAAACTCTTTTTGGCTGGATTGTAGCTTCTTTGCAGTCTGTTAATTTTTTAAGTGTTCAGTAATTTAGTTCAGCAACAGTGTAATTACAAAAGTGTCGTATACAAATATACTAAATATTAACTATGCAAAATATAGTTTATACTTCCTTGGTGGAAAAAATTGGGAAATTCAAATTCATTATATCCAGTAGTATCTACTGTTCTTGTACATTGTTTGCAAGGAAGTCTTGACTATCAACGCAGTAGAAGTGTCACTATAAATTTTGGTTATGTGGTTATTAATGATTAAATGGAGGATAGAGTTCAGTTTGACTGAACAGATGACTGACTCCTCACGTAGTTCCTGTCTATGATAAAATGTCATGCTGCTTAATAGGATTTAAGGTCCTAAGTCATTGATGAGTGTCAGGAAATTGTACCCTCAATCACAGAAATCAACACTGCTAGACAAAACATAAACTTCTTAACATTAATTTGAAACTCATTTCTTATTTTTTTTAATTGAAACTGAAGCTTTATTCTTTAAAATCACCAATATCAAAATAAAATAGGTGGGATCCCTAAAATTTTCTCCCTTCCTATTTATGGCTAGATCTACTTCTTTGAGAGCTGAAATTAGGCCACCTTCATTCAGAGACAGAATTTTTATTTCAGTTCCTGTTCCTCTAACTTTCTATGAAACTACCTCTCACACTACATCTCACACCCAGCTAGCAAAGAAATGAAAACTCATTATGTTCCATTCATCTCATCTCTCACTCCTTGATGTGAGAAAATAGTTGTATTTAAATGATAATCACACCAGGGCAATCTCCATTTCTTTCCTTGTACTCTTTGTGAATGTGTATAACCTTGCAATCAACATTTTCAGATATGGTTCTATGCAGTATCCAATTTTCAAAAGTTCTGATTGCCCAGTAGCTCCTCTTTAGCTTCTTGATGAAACATGTGCATACTCAGTGCCCTTAAACATATCAGACCCTATATTTAAATGCTTCATTATGTGTTTGTAATTTGAAACCCAAAATAGAAATGATTAGGAACCCATCACTGCAATTAAGCAAAATCATGGAGCTAGCATGAGAGGGCAGGATGAGCCTCAAGAGACATATATCTGAAGGTATCAGATCCACCTGTGAACTGATTTTAGAAAGAAGGAACATACCTTTCATACTGAGTGATTGTATAAATTGCTTTTCTTTGACATGTTTGGAAATACAGGATGTATGGGCAGGTGGTTATATGAAATGCACTTCCATTCACCAACTTAAAAATAACATGTCCTTCTCTGGCCCCTCAACAGTATTTGAGGTAACTGTATATCTATCTATGCTTGGCTTACTTGAGCATGATACACAGGAACATATTAATTTTCTTTTCTCTGAAAATAAAATGGGTAAGAAAGTATATAAAATACTATCCCCTATGACAGACTATAAATAATAACATATAGAAATAGTTTCTGTATAGAAATATAGAAATAGAGATGGAAGTAATGTGCTGGGTCATCATATCCAGGCCTCTTCAACTGCATCCAGCAGAATTAAGTGCACAGATCACAAAAATATTCACTCAGACTTCCTACCTTCAACATCATAAGCCTTAGTCTGTGTACATTCTTCCTTTCCTCAGTATCATGTGGCATATTTAGATTCTCTTCAGTATTTCTCAACTGTGCACATACTTTTCTATGTTCCATTTCTATTTTACTTGAAAAGTAACACATTCGATAAGCAAAGTTGCCTGTGTAGATCAATACCGAAGGAAGGAAAGGATTTAATGAGAGAAAATTGAAACACATTTTACGAAGGAAAAAAGATATCCCTCACAGTGACCATAGCAAATGGTGATATGGGCTAAAACTAAGGAGAAAAATCAAGAAAAAAAAAAAAGAATAAAGCTAAGATAACTGCGAGCAGCAGTTTATCTTTGGTCACTGCCTAATGGTGCAGCTTTACTGGCTGAAGTGAGGGACAGACAAGTGAAGAGTCTGCTGATTCTCTGCCTGTGTTTTCTGGAGAGTTTTTGGCACCTTTTCCTATGTGCTTCTCCCGTCTGTCTAACAAGCACAGGCATTGATGTATGGAGGAGAAATGTTATACTTAATTCCCCATGTAATCGTTTAGGTCAAGGCTCACTGAGGCTCTGTCCTTTGTATTTTATTTCTGATACGACTGTTTTGGTGGTGGAATAGGAGAGCTGGACTCACTTTTCTATTTCCTGTTGCACGGGGATACAGAAGGCAGCTTATTCCTTGCAAGTGTGGGAGGGGAAATACAGCTGCTGGCGGAGAAAGGAGCAGAGCGCCTCGACCGCACAGAAGGGCAATCGCTGAGCCCTGTCCTGTTCTGCACAAAGCTTCCTTTTCTTTTCCCTGAGCTGTTTTACAGCCATTAAAATGGTAGCTGACATAGTTAAAATCCGTGACTCCATTAATAATTTAATGCTAGAGTTTATGGCGATCTTGAAGTATGGCAAAGACACGATACATGTTTTTGTGATAGATGTCTTTGATCATGCAGAAAAAAAAAATAGAGCAGAACTTCACCCATAGAAAATTTTTATATTAAGAACTCGGAATATCCTTGTGATGGCTCATAATTATTTATAATAGTCTGCTGAAATGTCATTTGATCTGTTTTGTACTGCTGCTTGTATTTTTAAAGCTAAATTATTAGACCTTGTAAAAATAGCACAAACGGTCCCAATGAGTGCAGTGGAAGAGGCACTGCAGAATTTCTACGGTTTTGCAGAAATGGTTTTGAGGTGGAGGTTCAGGATGTTGCTAACATTTCAAGACTGATCTCATGGTTATGAATGATGGGAAGAAGCGGCAGGAAAGAAGTGAGCAGATGGTGCTTATTAACAGAATAGGATTTCCAGATAGTGGGTTCCAGGGACCTATCATGCATTTCTCTCAGGGATAGTAAGAAAAATGGGTAGCTGATGCACAGGATTATTGAAGCGTGTAGATCAGAAATACTAGTATGATTTAAATGTGGCAGGATGTGGAGGCTAAGAATAATTTGGCAGTTGGAATAGAACTAGAATATATGAACAAATACGAAAATCTATTTTTAGCTTTCCTGCATATCAGAATATAGAAAAATGGCTACAGATAATCTAAATCTCACATTTAGATAGTGCACATAGCTATCTAGTAGATTGAGAAGTATACTCTATATTGATATACAGATAAGTATATTGAGAATCACAGAATCACATAATAGTTGAGGTGGGAAAGGTCCGCTAGAGATCTTTGAGTCCAACCCCCCTGCTCAAGCAGGGACACCTAGAGCACGTGGTACAGGGTGGCATCCAGGCAGGTTTTGAAGATCTCCAGAGAAGGAGACTCCACAGCCTCTCTGGGCAGCCTGTTCCAGTGCTCTGTCACCCTAACAGTGAAGAAGTTCTTCCACATATGCAGATGAAACTTTCTGTGTTTCAATTTGCACCCATTACCCCTTGTCCTGTCACTGGCCACCACTGAGAAGAGTTTGGCCTCATCCTCTTTATATTCTTCCCTCAGGTATTTGTACACATTGATCAGATCCCTTCTCAACTTAATTGGTTAATTTCTATTGAATGTCAGTTGTTTTATACTGCACTTATCAATCTGGATATGGCTAAAGAATAACTTCTGACAAACTCAGCTCTAGGGAGATCTATGGAAATGATTACTTTTTGTGATTACACTGATTATTCCAGCCTCTCTGGGCAGCCTACTTCTTATCACTTACAAGTATGACTTCTTAACTTTGATTCTACACTTTCAGTCACTAACCCTTGTTCTGTTTTTATCTGATAAATTAAAGAGCCCTTAATATTGGCATCTATTAGATCTTATGCTAGGTTCTTAAGTACTGCAATAAAGTCATACACTTCAGACTATTAGTTGTCTTTAATATAGACATTAAATTAATATTTATTTTAAAAAAAATAAATGTGAAAGATTTTTCCAGATCACAAATCATTTTGTAATCTTCATCATTTTTGAGTGTCATGAATCCTACATGTGCATTGTCTACATTTTAAGTAGAAGTAATTATTATCTGAAGATTGCATTAGCCTTTTGTGCAGCCACATTCCAATCTAAGCCTGTTCTGTTTTGTTGTCTGGTAAGATTTTTCACGGAATCATAGAGATGTTGGAGAATGCCTGATGCAGTCATCTGTCAACCACTCACTCAATAGCCTGATCTGGAATGCGCTATTTCCAGTGTG